CAAACTCATGCGGAAGTGGCAGGGAGGGCCAAATAAATCTTTATTTTTTAAAAATCAAGCTCACTCTTCTCGCTGTCTGGGGTAGCTGGTTCTGATGGAGAAGGGTGGGGTTGGTAGTCCCTGCAGCCATTCACCATGAGGACACTCAGGCAGCCCAGGCAGGGCCTCCCAGCAGCCCAGGGAGAGGGCACGTTGAGGAGTGGGTCTCAGCAGACCCACTAAGCAGGACTTCCGAGTCCTCTCTTCTCCTACCGGTGAGGAAAGCAGCAGGCGAGACAGGAGATGTGCCCTGTGGGTCACCTCCCTTTCCAGGGATCGAACTCATGCCACAGTAGCTGGTGATCCTGGTGATAGTTTGATATTGCCGAGACTTTAACCCCTGCACCACCAGGGAGGCCCCAACCTAAGCTGGTATTTACAACTGCAGCCATAAGGCGATTCTTTGACTTTGCCCGCATGCTCTTTCCCGAGGTTGTACCATCACGGACAGCTTCATTTCTAACTCTCCTATGCTGACTCTGGCAAGAATTCTTTCCTGCACAAAAGTGAGAACCCCAGGCTCCCTCAGCACCCCATCCCCATCATGGCTATGGCCACCATAGCTGCTAATTGCTCTAGTCTACAATATTTGGAAATTTTTTTTCATTGAGGAAGCCAATGTTTCCTCTTCGCTCTTCTGTGCCCTGGGGTGTGTGTTTGGTTGCCAGGAAGAGGCACTAGGGTGTGTTAACCAGGGAGGACATTCGCACAGGAGGTCTAGACCTGAGCAGGCCGGGTTGGCCTCTCACTCTGCTTCTGTGTCTCGGCATGAAATGTCCACTCCGTGGCTCATGACTGCTTCCAGGCACATGTCCGTGCCCTGGAAGGTGGAGAGCAGGTGTGGGCCAGGCCTTCTCCTTTAAAGCGCTTCCCTCTTGCCCTTCTCTCCCCAGGCAGTGCTAGTGTTCATGGATGTCTTGACAATGGACTTGGGGAAGGTGATTCCCTTCCCTCTCCCCCCCTTTTTTTTTTCCCAGCCTGGACAATAGAGAAAAGCAAGGGGGAAAGGGACTGTGTGTGGTTTTCTGGTAGCTGGCCAGAGATTCCTTCAGGCCCTGCTCTCTACAGCCTCCTGGGGTCTTACACCACCCATCAGCACTGGCAAAGCACAGCTTCCTAGGAGACAGAGCACCAGATCTCTGGGGGTGTGGATAATGTAAAAGTCCAGCACAGTGCAATTAGTAGGATCCAAAAGATCCAATTCAATGAAAAATGTGGAGTTACTGGAAGGTTGAAGAAATCAATAGGGAGTTGGGGAGTCCTAGCTGGGAGCTTACTCCAGTCCAATCATTGCTCAGCTCAGCTGCAGTTTGGCGCCACCTACTGGTGACTGTCTCCCACCCGCAGCTGGGTGTCTAGATCACGGAAGGATTCCGGGGTTCTCTGCGGCGGGAGCCATGTGTCAGTCAACCTGTTCTGGGGAGAATGGACGCGTAGGAAACTGGGCTGGGGCGCCCCTCCTTTATCTCTCGGGTTACTGACGGTATTGTTCGCCTTTTCTCTGCCTGATCTCATATTACTCGCCAAGTTTGGGGAACAGACCAACTACGTTATAACCCAATCCACATTGTTGTGGGTGCTCACACATACATACACGTATATTTATTCATTACATCAGTATATTAAATGAGCCCAGCCTGGTAGGATCTGAGCAGGAAACATCACCGGATGATCTGTTACCTAGAAACCTCCTCTCTGGCTATTCCTTTCCTAACCTAGATGGAGTTTCAGGCATCTCCCAGAACTTTTCTGGTCACTCTCAGATAATAAAATGTGTTGGATTATCATCATCACAGTTTTAGGCGTCATTTCTGTAATTAAACTACGAGGTCCAGTGTAATGATGAACATTCACACTTAAAAAAAAAAGATTTATTTATTTATTCATATAGAACTGGGGTACAGGCCAGAGATGCGGAGGGTGAGAGGCTTCACCAGAGACAGAGCGGGGAGCAGAACAGGCAGATCGAGCAAGTCCACTGCTGAGGGGAGCAGCGGGCGGGTCAGGAGAGGTCTGCCACGCCATGTGGTCACCTCCGGGGCAGGTGGGGCTCGAACTCATGCGGAAGTGGCTTTAGGTTCTTAGTGCTGTGCTTTAACCCGCTGTGCCACCAGGGAGGGCCCGCATTCACAATTTTAACCCAATTAAGCCTCCTCTCTCCCTGACTGGGCAGCAGGGTGGAGGTGGTGGTCAGTTTCTGCTCTTCCTTTTCCCATCTGCTCTTTCTGATATCTGGGAATAAAATCTTTGATCTGGGAATAAAATCTCAGGGGGTGTGTCGGGGGGTACCCACCTTTATTTGGCTGGGGGTGGGGTGGGGTGGGTAATCAGACTCTGGCACTCTCTGGTTCAGTATGGCTGTGGTTGATTTTTTTTTTTTGTTCAGGGGGTACTTGTCATGGTATACTGGAGGTTCTACTGGTATCTTCCAAGCGAACCCGAGATACTTCTGCTGGAAGGCGTCATCCAGTCCAATCTGCTCAGCTCTTCTCAGTTGAGCTGCAGTTTGGCGTCCTCTAGCGGCGGCGGGCCCTTTGACGGTGTATCTCCACCTGCTGTGTCATTTGGCGCTTCTCGCTGTCTGTGCTTAAAGCACAGTTGTTTGAAGGCAGCTTCAGGTCCAGCTACAGGCCTTGGGGGGCTGGGGGAGGGGAGGAAGGGGGTCGCCTTTTCCGAGTTATGGAAACATCGGCTCCCACAGCAAGCTCCTCGCTCCCTTTGTGTCTTCTCTTGTGCCGCAGCCTGGCGGTTCGTCGTCGAGCTGCTCATAAGTAGAGCACATACTTTATGATTGCTAAACCCCAGACTAACAGTCGTCCCAGGGGAACCGCTTTCTCCCGTGAGAGAGGAGCAATGCCCTAGTGCTTCAGCAGTTGTCTTTAGAGAGATCTTTTAACTCGAATTTTCAAGCCTTGTGTGTTTTTCAGGTGGGAGTTGGCCAAAGACACACAAAACAGACGTCGTGGTTCCCTGTTGCCAAGACTTGCATAATAGGTGACTTAAAATGTGGGGCATGTGTCATCGACTCAGAACTGCCACACCCCGTGACTCTCAGGGTCTAATTTCTACAAAAGATAATGAAAATGGAGCGCATATGGTGAATAGTGTCCCAGGGGGCGTGAAGCCGCAGGCCCGAGGCTGTATCCATGGCCTTTGGAGTCCCAGGCAAATCCTGGTCACTTGTTATAGGAACAACAGCGCTAATACTTATCCAAAACTAATATGAGCTCTACATTGTGCTTTATCTATTTAACTTAATCTTCATAACAATCCTATAACTTGGGTACTATTATTCGTGGCCAGTTTACAGGTGTGTAAACTGAAGTACAGGCTTGTTCAAGGCCACAGAGCTATAGAATGGCAGAGTAAGAATTCAACAGTGGAAGTATAGCTCCTGAAACGCCTTTAACCCCACCTACCTGTGCCTTCACCCCAGGGCTTCACTCTTACCACCACTTCCCTTACAGAGACAGCACTCACCCTGCAGGAAGGCGGATGTGGTTCAGATCCTGGCCACCGTTCAGCATTTGTGTGGCTTTAAATAAATTAAAACACTGATGCTCTCTGACAGCGTTGCTGGGAAGATCAAACAATCCTGGGCTTTCCCCATGTGTCTGCAAACACTAAGGACTCAAAACTGTATGTAAATAGACTTGTCATGATCTATATACGAGAAGGTAGGGGGGCGACCTAGATCATGACTTACTTCCTCCAAAACCATAAAGAAGGTGCCAGGCGCTCACCAGTGTGGGTTTTCTGGCTCCTAGCCCAGCGCCCTGTCTCAAGCCACTCACCAGGGCGCTCTGCTTCTCTGAAAGGCTGAAACAGTGGAGAGGACACAATGCACGGTCAGATCAGCCCCTGCCCGAGCGTGCCCCATCCCTTAACGTCTGTTTCCTTCTGAGTGAAAAAGTGGATCTGGTGAGACACAACATGCTCTAAATAAATAGCGATGATTTCTAAGGAGAATGAGCTAACGAATAGGAGGCAAGGTCAGCTGACCCGGGCGCGCCCCTTGGGGGCCGGGGCGGATCTTTTCTTTGTCCGGAACCGTTCTCCCGGGGGCTGTATCCCGGCCCGGACTTGGAAAGCCGCAGGCCGAGGGCCGGAAGCGCGCGCTGCACCCGCGAAGCGTGTCGGTGCGGAGGGAGGGAGGGAGCGCGAAAGAAGTCGCGGAGGACGGGGCGAAGATGGCGGCCTTCTCCGGTGCGTCTGGGCGCGGGGGCAGGTGCGGGCGGCGCCGGCGCGTCGCATCGCGGGGCGGCAGGCTGGGAGACGCGTGTCTTTGAGATGTGTTTATTTCTGCACACAGA